TAATGGATATATGCAAAGATTTTGTAAATTCAAAGAATATTTAACATTTAAAACAATGAGTCCCTTTGATAAATTTTGATAGTGCAATGAGAAGACAAAGCTTATCAGAATTATGTGATATATTTGTGCAATACTAAGGTTTATTGAAGCCTTGGCTATATGGAAATTAAAAACCCCTTTATGCGTTCAAAAACAATTTGTCCTTACACTTAACCAACCCTGGTATTACTGACTTATTTGTTTTTCACTGATTAAAATCATGAGTCAATTGAAGCTAGACCACCATGGAAAACGTGAAAGCACTGGACGGCCGTTTCGTCCTAGTATGGGGGTTCTCAGCAGTGCGCATACATGATCTCGCACCCAACGGGATTCGAAACCAGGACCTATCAGTCTCGCGCCAGGCGCTTACCAACTAGACCACTGAGCCGGCATCTAATGGTGTTAATGTCTAACTTCAACCAATCCACGAAGTTGCGCCACCGTACACCATTGTCTTCAGTGAGTTGATATCTCACAACTGACCTAGTTGAACTCCACTGATAACGACTTCTCACTAGAACTCCAAGAAATGCCTCTTGAAGTCAGTCACTAGTGAGTAGATGATTATTATCAGAAGGGGTGGTCTAGCTTCAACTGACTCATGATTTCAATCAGTGAAACTTCTAAAATCTCCACAAAACCCCTCCTGACATTTGTTTTTGTGTACTTTGATATTTTTTCCCCTTTGTTATGACTTACCCTTAGCCTGTCTAGTTGACCTTTTACTTTTCATATATAAATGTTCTTAACAAGTATATGTGTGATCAGATTGTTCGAAATGTATTGCGCTAATATATCACATAATTCTGATAAACTTCGTCGTCTCACTGCATTATCGAAATTTAAAATTTAGTTTTTATGTATATGATGATTCTACAGTTACCACCTATAATCTTTTAAGATGAAGCCTCAGAGTATTTTATTAAAAAATGAGACATATATATATATATATATATATGGTTTCTATTAAAATCAATGTTCATTTGTATTTTATTCGAATAAAGAGGACTGTAATCAATAGAAAAACAAATAGTACGTGGTGTTGTCTATTCTTAACTTTTCCCTTGTAATTCCACTAACTTCAGATTGAGTGAAATTGTAAATAATTTTCACAAAAAGAACTATTCTCTTCAAATAACGTGGTGTTCAAATTGGATGGTTATAATGGTCAAATAGGTCAGTCAGTCAATCAATCAGCTATAACAAAGGACCAGGCACATATATGCATCGGTTTAAGTTGTCACACCTCATTAGCACAACAAGACCAACAAATGCATAGAAGTAGCTACTTCAATGATGGTAATATATAGATTGAATAGAAGGAAATAATCAAGGTAGGAAGATTAGTTCGTAGCAAGAAAGATATAAAGCAATTTTAATCTCATAGTTTAAGTGAAGATAAAGAGTGTATACACCTATGCTATTATGATCGATCCTGGGCCATGTCACAAACAGTCTCAAACCATTGATTATGATAATCATGCGGACCCTAACCGAGAAGTCTGCATCCACCAACATGGCTCAAACGAGAAGTTAATGACTTCAAGGACTGATACCACATTTGGTCTTGGAACACCTAACTTTCTCCCATCCGTCTCCAACACTATTCACCGTGGTAAAATAGGTAAGTTGAAACGACTAATCTTTTTAACAAAATTAAGGAGTATAGTTAAAATTAGTGATTTTTTAGTAGTGTGAACTATACTAAAGTACATAGATCAGGTAAGTCAACTCAAGGCAAACGATACGTAAAGCAATCATTACTAAAATATTAGCCCAATTAACATATACAGAGCACTGCCTACTGTAGCACCAAGCAGATAGTTGTTTATTTCCAGTAAGTAATAATTTTAAGCCCAAGGAAATGCATTGTCTAACCTCTTGACAGTAACTTTATTTAGTGCACTATAAAGAACATAATGGTTATCTTACATAGAACTTTATCGATCTTGCAGATCATAGTTTTAATTAACTATTTATGTAAAATTACAGTCCAATGGCGACAAAATGTAAAGATATATGTCGACGAAAATCATCCAAGTAAGTTTCACTATATGATCCAGAAATATTTTATTGTCATTACTTAGTTTCAATATGCATTTTACAAAAGAATGTATGGTAAGCATTGTTATTTGACGTCAACATAAATTATGTTAATCAGGTAATCGATGTATGTAAAGTTTGTAGTAGTTGTAGATATACACTATTGTTGTTGCCATTTCCATTTCCATCCTCATCATTCAAAGCCTGTAAACTTGCAGAGTTACTTTTAGTTCAGTCAATATTTAAATCATAAGTAAAAATATTTATGATACAATAGATTAATATAAGTGATAATGTGTGTTATATTGATGCTTGTTTCAACTTTCTGTTCATTTTTTATTCAAATCTTTTTTTTTTATGTTGCTGCGAAATATATTTGATCATCGTAGAAAATGTAGTGCTTTGTTTTAATAATCAAAAAATATTTATACCATTCAACACCTATACAAATATGGTGGTAACCAGTTTAATTTAATTAATCAATAAAGGAATGATATTGTTGTACGTTATTTTGAGCAGGTGAATTTCAAATTTTTAAAGAGGAAGTACTTTTTACACTGGTTTACTTCTTACATTTAATTGTGTTTTAATTTAATTGTTAATAATGATAAGATTTTGAGACCTTTTACTATATGAAGCTATGGATTCTAGTGTTTTAACCATAAAAACGATTAATTGCAGATTATTGGGCACTACGATATATTGACTTAACAATTGGATGAGAGATATCAGTCCCATTCTATTCTCGAGTATAGTTAGAACTTTCGATCGTTTTCAACTTATTAACAAATCTTAACTATATAAATGAAAATAATTGTGAATATCAATTCAACCTAACAGTTAAAGAACAATCTAATTAATTTGAATAGTGATATAAAAACACAACTAAATAATATCCAAGAATAATTGATCAATGTTCCTGATCCTAGTTTGTACAATCATCATTTACTCAGAAGAAAAAAAAGTATATTGAATAACATTTTTAATATTAAAACACAAATTTCAGCGAAGGGATCTCTTTTCAACGAATTTATTATCAAGCTGTACAATCGTATATATATGAAAATTTTTGTTTTTGTAAAAGTACTAATTCCGTGAGGAAATGTGAACACAGTTAATATAAAGGTTATAATACTAGATTACGTAATAACTGTGTTCACATTTCCTCACGGAATTAGTACTTTTACAAAAACAAAAATTTTCATATATATACGATTGTACAGCTTGATAATAAATTCGTTGAAAAGAGATCCCTTCGCTGAAATTTGTGTTTTAATTTTAATGTTTAAATGGGAATTATCTGTCAATTTTTAATATTCCCTATTCGGATTATTTTTATCTATTTTTATATATAATGAATATACTAATGACACTATTATATAACATGTAGTAAGTGTAATATTAATAATAATAATAATGTTAGTTAGCTATCCAAGCAATTCTGACCATTTGAAATTCCAGTTTATTGATGAACTTATATCATGTACATTTTGTTAGAATAAGGATAAGCTCAAAATGATTTTCACTTATCTTGTAGGAAATTTATGATTTCTACTATTACTGTGTATGAGTTTATTTTATCTATTTTTGCTATTACTATATATGTAAAATTATACTTATTATTCAGTTCAGATCTATATCATATAAAGTTTGGTACAAAAGGATCCTAAAATGAACGAGATAAATTGATATAATTATGAAGAAATGTAAAGAAATCAGAATATATTCACAATAGATTTCAAATGAGAAAATGATAAAAAGTAATGTTTTCTTTAGTTCAAATAGTTTATCTCACCTGAATGAAGTGTGATCAACAAACTATAGCACGATCGATTTCATTAGTCATTCGTGGTTATTTCTTATATAGTCATAAATCACTGATTTAAAAATTCATTAGGATTAAAGATTCGTAATAAATCATAAGTTGGGATTTCCGTAAAGATTTCATTTTACAGCCCATATTATAAGCTGATCACTTTTCTGCTTCTTTCATCTAATCCCATCGTCTCAAATAATTTTCAATATGGAAGCGACTAAGTCGAAATTCGGAAAATATATCACACCAAAAAAGTTGTAGTTTTAAGATAGTGACGTTAATTAAATGATTGTTAGTGTACTCGATCACACACTACCTGACCACAATATTACTTGAACTGCATTATAACCAAATATGCGTAATCTTTCAAAGACAATAATCAATAATCTAAATAACTTGTCAAACATTCTCAGCTACTGAAAGTTAGATTTTATTGACAAAAAGAAGAGATGGTCCTAATAACGCGTTCTACACAGAATTATCCATAGCTAAACTTACTGTGCAATGGATCTAGTTACAATTTATAATGACATAAGCAGTTAACCCGTCAAGTCAACACTGTCAACCACGTAGCTACATAACTATGCAAATGTCTTCAATGTTTTCGAAGGTTTACTAAAATGTATGAATGTAGCTTCATTGTCTGGGCCGTCTTGAAGAAAAAAATGATATTTTAAAGACATTTAGTCGATGCCGTACTAACAAAAAGCAATCGCTAACCGACCAAGTAGAATTTAGATAGATTGTCTGACAAGTCAATTGTATGCTAGACGTAAAAAAGCCGTTCTCAAGATAAAAGAACCACAATATCACTAGAATCCTCTATTTAGAAATATTCTATAATATAACGTATAAAAAAACTGAAACAAAAATGGTGAAATTCAACTTCACTACTACATTGGAACAACGGGGAAAGGTAGTTTTATGGCCGTATATCTATAACATGGAGGCGCTCCAATATGAATGACCTTATATGAAAAAATGATCCTAATTTACGTATTGCTTTCTAAATACACATAAAGTGAAAGTTTTCATAAACTAACTAATTAAACATATCGAAAATAAACATGGTTGTCTTATAATAATTAATGTTACTGACCTTGATAAGTTAGAATTTTCTATGTTCATTGATTCATTTGTTATCATATTTTCAATTTTATCATTTTCTACAGACTGTTTCTGTTCTCTTCGTTTAGCCTTTAGATACCAAATAGAAAACAAAGAAAGATATTAATTTTAAAGGAAACTTATCTAATTCTATATTCGTTTTAGTTAAATTAAGGGTGCCGACACAGTGGTCTAATGATTAAGCGCTCGCGTGCGAGACTGATAGGTTCTAGGTTCGAATCTAGCGGAGGGTGGGATCGTGGGTGTGCACTACTGAGAAGTCCCACAATAGGACGAAACGGCCGTCCAGTGTTTCCAGATTTTCTATGGTGGTCTAGCTTCAATTGACTCATGATTTTAACTAGTGGAATAAGGAATTATCAAGAAGTAATTGAAATTAAATATGTAAATCAATCGATTTTGTCTCATTGATTTAGAAATCATGTACTCACTTTGAAATCTAAAGATCCTATGTTCGATTCTTAAAAGAAATTGTGTATACGTATTATTGAGAAGTTGTATGTTATAACAAAAAAGAGCTGTCAAGTGCTTTCACTAATTCTTAAACTAAAATCAATCAATGATGTAATCTATGAAATTGATAAAAATTTCACCCAGTATTTATTGTATGTCCTTATTCATCTAGCTAATTTATTACATAATAATAAACATGTTATGTTAAAAATAAAATTGAGGACTATATATTAACTCAGCATAAACTTTAGAATTAAAATGCATATATACAAGTTAGTTGTTGATTCAGAAAATTTCATTGGTTTTCATACTAAAAATTTCCATATCTTTATATGTGGTCTTATTATATAGAATTACATGGGATGACATGACAGGAGGTACTAGTGAAAATTGTGGAGCACTGATCTATCAGTTGGATTGAATTACAAAATATGATTCTAACTGTTTGATCTAATCAACTATGTGAGAAGAAGTGTGAATAGGGAACTTTAATCTTTAAACAGAATTCAAATGTACATAACTCATGTATACACACATATGTGTATCTCAGACAGGGATATGTAACTCTTGATCTCGGTCAGATGAATAACTAGCAATACATTTTTTACGATGGTATTTCTTACCTATCACAGCATACGATCTTTTTGATTTTTCAACGAAATTTAACCTCTCTTAATTCATCCGACGTATCCGCTAAATAACTGTACTGTTCTTTTGTGGGACTCTTTAGAAGTGTATAATCATGACCAGGTACAAGATCGAAACCCAAATATTCAAGTCTTGTGATGAATGTATAACCTTTAGGCCTTTGAATATAAATGCAATAATCTGCACCTGATTTGTTTTATAACCTAATGGTAATTAAGCATCATAGATGAAAAACTACATTATTAAAGATGGTACTGAGTTGTATTAGTCACAACCTCGCACTAAAACTTCATGAATTTATCTTAAAATCAGTTGTCAAATTAAATTTTATCAGATGTTTAACAGACGAATATCAGTGTGTTTTAATATTTCACATTTCTGAAATGTTCAGTGTTGAATACATGAGTCGATGTAAGCTAGACCACTATTGAAAACCTGGAAACACTGAACGGCCGTTCCATCCTAGTATGGAACTCCTCATCAGTGCGCGTTCACAACCCCGCATGCATGATTTAAACCCGAGACATTCGGTCTCGCGCGCAAACACCTAAACCTTCAGATCACTGAACCGGCATCCAACGGTATCAATGTCTAACCTTAATCGATCCATGAATAGCTGCGCAATCATTCATCCATTGTCTGAGATAAATACTTATCTTTACCCGACATGGATTGAACTATACTGATCAGAACTTTTCACTAGAATTCTAGGAAATCCATCTTGATGCCAGTTACTAGTGAGCATATAATAATTATGATCAGAATGAGGAATTATGGATATTGTAGCAATTTTAATATGAAGTTGATGATTTAATTTTTCTTAATTCTTATAAGACTGGACTACGTACACGTTACAAATCAATGTTGACATTCATTAACTTGCCCCTAATATGATTTCCTCTTTCTTATATTCAATAATTAAATCTATGAGATAATTCACAGTAAGTATTTTAAAGTTTTTAGTAAAGTTGAATTATGACTAACTATGGAATCAAAGGAAAATGTTTTGTCCTATTTTTAACTTATCAACTTTTAGTCTCTGTAGATTTATTTAAAAAGATATTTTTAGCATTGATTATAGTTCAATAATTAAACACTTAAAAAAACATAAACTAAAGAGATTTTATATCCAACGAATATGAAATAGGGATAGAGAATATTTCTAATCAATAATAAGGAATAATTAACATAAGAATAAAACAAAGTTAATTTATTCATCAATTCATAATTTAAATATATACAGATATCACAACTATTCAAAAGAAAAAAAGAATTCACTTGAAGATCTGTTATAATATTTAGATTATTAAATATGTTTTAGTTAATCCGAATGATTTTGTATACCTATGAGATTGTATAGAAACAAGTTAGAATGTCACTGGTTGAAATCATGAGTCAATTGAAGCTAGATCACTATGGGAAACTTGGGAGCACTGAACGACCGTTTCGTCCTGGTACGGGACTCCTCAGCAGTGCGCATACACGATCCCGCACCATGCGGGGCTCGAACCCAGGACCTACTGGTCTCGCGTGCGAGCACTTAACCATTAGACCACAGAGCCGGCATCTAATGGTGTTAATATCTAACTTCAACCAATCCACGAAGTTGCGCCACCGTACACCATTGCCAACAGTGAGTTGATATCTCACAATTGACCAAGTTGAACTCCACTGCTAACGACTTCTCACTAGAACTCCAGGAGTATCTCCTAAAGTCAGTCACTAGTGAGGAGGTGATTATTATTATGATAATGGGTCTTGTGGAGATTTTTAGAACTTTCACTGGTTGAAATCATGAGTCAATTGGATGCCGGCTCAGTGGTCTAATGATTAAGTGCTCACGCGCGAAACCAGTAGGTCCTGGGTTCGAATCCTGTGGGGTGCGGGATAGTGTATGCGCACTGCTGAGGAGTCATATACCAGGACGAAACGGCCGTTCAGTGCCCCCAAGTTTCCCATAGTGATCTAGCTTCAATTGACTCATGATTTCAACCACCGAAATTTCTAAAAATCTCCACAAAACTCATTCTGAAAGTTAGAATGTCGTTATCTTAAATGGTTTACATATACAACTTTTTACTAATTAGCTATAATTTTGATACATTTTGAACTAATTTTAAATAAGGTGAAATGATGATAACATTATCGTTCTCAACAAATTACATAATTCACATTAAAAGTAAGAAACTTTAACAGAGATGCATTAAAAAACGAATGAATAGTAAGTTCAATGTTCAATACTAGCTGAGTTTGGTCAAACTAATTGATGATCATATAATATATTCTAGATAAAAGAAAATATCTGAATACTATTTGAGTTTTTTTTCAAAATGAATTAATTTCATAGAACAGATGGTAAACATTGAGATCTGGGATGTGAAGTTTGGGTTTGTCCATTAGATGTACTTGCATACCACTGTTGGTGTCCACAATGTGATTCTAACTTATTGCTTATTGCTGAAAACATATTATACACTAAATAAATTAGTACAGATGACCACTATTTAATTCAAAGGTTTACATTATTCCATTATTGATATTAAAGACTGAATTTAAGCAGAATCCTTCCATGTAGCCATCTATACTTCAAACTTTCTGATATTGTGCTTATAAAATGTAGGATTATATTTAGACTGTATCCGTGAACGGTATAACGTTACTCATCAACTTCAAATGGTTTAAACTTATGCGGTAAACATTAATGCAAACAACGTTTTGTATATTGTGATCAGTGAAATTGAGTTTAAAACGATATATAAACAATAAGAGGAAACAAAATATTTGATATAACACTTGGGATTGATTAAATTTTAAATCTTGACGATGACGTTATTTAATTAATGAAGAAATTGTTAACAAGTAAGTGGTAATTAAGCCAATTAATTACCACTGTTAATAGAGCATCAGTGGAGCTGTTGATTTTGTATAATCAAACTTAATGAACACATAATGTAACTGACAAACGTTAAAACAAGATTATCATTTTACCATGGAAATAGGAGGTTCATTACACTTTCTTTTTGTGAACTAGGGTCTGATCGAAAGCGCTTAATGACGATGGGTTCTGTAAATTGGAGTAATAGTGGTATTTGCAGCTAGTCAAATACTTTAAACGTCTTTATGATGTCTGTATTATGTTTACTTATTCGCTAAATGTCTAGTGAGCACACTTGTAGGCGCTAGACTTCCTATCAAACAGAGCTTTTGAGAAATACGTTCAGAAAACCTTTCTTTCAGTTCTTTCTCTGTTTTTACTTCAAAAGGTATTCGTGAATTCATAAGTACATTTCGAGATGACTTCGAAAGAGTAATAACCCACTTTTGATTGGTTAAGAAAAGACATTCAGGCCTTACCAAAACTTCTTTAAAGCACTGTTTTAAACGTTTTATCTAATCCCCATGAAATCTTATCACCATAGGATGTGAGATGGATGAAAACAGTTTCATTTTGTTAGCAGCTATTTATTTAGGATCTTGCTGAACATCTTCCCGCAGTTCAAAACAGATTTCCTCGAATTTCCACTTTTTTTAGGTACAAGGTAATGTTCAAATAACAATTTTCACCTCACTAGCAACTACTTAATAATAAAATGTTTTCTAAGCTTTATCACATTTAAAAACAAGATTATTTTACAAGACCGTTTTTTAGACAAACAATTTCATAGTATCAATTTTAACTCAACAATCACCACAATTCTATACTTATAGTTTCAAAATAGTTAGGAGCCGCGTTTCGCTTTTCAGTCCAACCTGAGCTTCTTCAGGGGAATAATCAGAAATTGAAATTATTTGTTTGATGAGTAGATATTTGATAATGAAAATTTAATAGAGATTTTCGATCAAATCGTCCTTTTGCTTATTACTGACTTTGAAGCAAATTGTTATTACTTTATTGAAATGATAATACTTTCTAAAAACTACATCGTTACAGAAAAAAACTATAATTTTATCGTTATAACTTCAATCTACTCAACAGTGCATGATAACATTCAACTTACAAAACAAAATCCAAGGATTTCAAGTTACTTAAATAAGTTCATGGATTCAATGATTAATGTTTTCCATCCTTAGTCAATTTGTTACATAATTTGATTAACATCCGATTCCGTTACTGTCTACTTAATGAACTTAATTGATATAATTTCCCTGTTGTAACACTATATAATGCACTTCAAAGTTTACAATTAGCAAACAAATAAATGACAACTCATTAGATTTGAAGTACTTGTCCGAGTTCTTTTTTGTTTATTTCTTGTCAGTTGTACAACAGATGAAAATCCATTTTCATATCGTTACTTGTGTGAACATTATTAGTGAACCGTTGGATTTAACAGTATATGATAATTTGTCATGTTATGTTATCAATTGACAGCATTATCACTAGCACAAACATTACCTAATCGATAATTTTAGACTTGATTAAATCTCTTTGAAACGAGAAAGTTAATTAATAATATTTACTATATCATTTGGAAATTCTATTGTGTTTCAATCGAATCACACTTAACAGATACGTTAGAAAAACAAATAAAGATTGGAAAAATGTTTTCTTAATCAAAAAGTATATACATACTTGTAAGACAGCTCCATCTGTCATTAATGAAAACTTATCACAAATATTTCGATCAATAGGTGGTAAAAATCCTCGTCCAGATGAAGCATCTAATTCTCCAACTTGATTAACTATTAAAGATTTATCTTTAAAATTAACATTTTGTACAGATTTTCCTAAATTTGTTTCATTATTAACTGAATTATTTGTTTGACGTTTTGTTGTACTAATATTTGAATTACTACTTGCAATTTTTGAACCTTGAACAGTTCCACCACTACGTGAACTACTAGATATAGTTGAAACTGCTACAGTTGTAGGTGAACGACTTGCTGTATAATAACTTTGTCTACTTAATTGACCTTTTGTTTCATCTAATTGAACTTGAAGTGACCTAAAATGAAATAATTAGACAAAATTTGGAAACTAATCAATGCTTCATTTGTTTTTGAATTTTTTCCTCTGGAAAACTCTTCAATATAAGGTTTGGTTAATAAAGATAGATGAATCTATCAAAGTCAGTAAACTGTCAGAGGATATAATTAAAAGTCAATAAAATCAAACAATAAAAACTTAATAACAACTCATTATTGTTCTTACCAACATCATTGTCCAGACATTTAGTGACCATTGCAACACTTTAAAACTTAGAATTTTTTTAAAAATTATATGTAATACAAAGTCATTTCACAAAGAATACAGGTTTATAGACCAAGAAAGAGTTTGATAAATATTTTCATCCTAAATTATTATCATCCTTAGGACTATAGCAAATTAAGTGGTTTTGGACAAATTTTTTTCATGTAGTTCATACCGAAAATGTCCCACAGGTTTAACTTTGAACCATTATGTTTCAACTTTTGTTATCAGGATAGAATTATAACGACTACCAGTTGAACTTCAGCTGAACATTCTGTTTTCAATTAGTCAGTACTAATGGGCAAATTGAGAAGACAATAAACGGTCCTTACGTGAATTTTATAAAAGCCTTCGCGATTTTTCATCATTGTATGTTTTATTGACAGATTTATTGGAATTCGTCTTATTTTCGTACATTCGTGTACCGATTTCTGTCAAGTTAACTAAATTGAAGCAGTTAAAGAGTACTACACAAAGAGGAAAGTACAAAGTCTACTGAGGTTTTGTTTTAAGGATATCTTGATTACTTCTCACTTACATTATTATTTTTAGAATTTCATGACCCTGTATAATAAATAAACATAGAATCTACGGAGCATAATGGCGTTTTACAGTTTAATAAAAAATTTCACAGCAGAAAGTACTACCCAAGCAATAAGAGTATTCACTTTAATTCAGAATATTATCCTATGAGAAACACGGAGAGATCATTTAAAACAAGTGTACAGCGGAATTGAAACTAGCATAGATTTGTTACAAACTGAAAATAGTAGTGATTTTGATATTAGATTCTTAGTGTTTTGTTTTATATCCACAGTAATGTAAAACTTCATCACCACAAAATGCTTTTAGGTAAACAGTCATTGTAAACCAGGAAACACTAGACGGCTTTTTCATATTGATATAAGATTTTTCAGCGGTGCTCATCCACAAACTCAAAACTTTCAATCTAGAAGTGAGCAACAAGTTCTTATCCTTAATTTATCATTATCCTGTTATAAACATACGTACACAATAATCAGAAAAACAAAACAAAGAATAAATGAAAATCATAAAACAGAAAACAAAATATTTTTCAAAATCAATACATCAATATATAGGACTGAAGATCAAAAGGTCATACTGAATTCACAAGCCAAAACTTGTTTTCATAATTACTTCTATATTAACGATATAAACAAAACATTCGTTCAATTGTTTTGATCATAATTGGGTTGTGTTTTTTCTACGTTTGAAAATCAGTAAATTAAATAAGACTCGAAAATCAAACAATAGAATCAGATAGAATAAATGTACATATCCATACCATCAATCATTAAGATTGAATTACTGTAAATTAATTGAAATGATTATTAAGTATGATCACTACAACACCTTTGAAACAATGGTGCCGCCTATGACCAGTTTATTGAAGGCACATAGGTTTGCAAATCTCTCACCATTTTCGTTCCTTTCTCCCAGTCCGTGTCCTTCCATGATGTCTTCATATCCAGTGTTGTCCGTTCATACCTTGGCATTTACATCTCCCATCAGAATGGTCAGGTCTTTTGTTGGGCACTTCTCGATGATTGACTGCAGCCTATTGTAGAATTGATCTTTAGCTTCTTCATTGTAGTCGTTGGTAGACGCATAGCATTGGATGATGTTCATTGAAATGCCCTCTTTCTTTGTTTTAAACGAGGCTTTGATGATCCTTGGTCCATGAGATTCCCATCCTATGAGTGCATTTTGTGCTTGTTTGGACCGCATCAATCCAACTCCTTGTGTATGTGGGGCATTTTCTTCTTCAAGGTCGGAGTATAACAGGAGCTCTCCTGAAGTTAGTCGTTGTTGTCCAACTTGAGTCCAATGTGTTTCACTGATCCCAAGCACCTCCAGGTTGTATCTCCTCATTTCTGCAGCAATTTGGAAGGCTCTCCCGGTGTCTCACATTGTGCGAACATTCCATGTACCTAAATAAATGGTCGCTCTGGTTGTCAAAAGGGGCATCGACCTCGTAACTTCTGAAGGAATTCGGCTTTCATCATGAGGCGTCATAGTTTTTCTAAAAGAAGACTGAATTATTGTATTACATTTCCAGTTTGAGTTAAAATTTCATATGTAGATTTCATAATTATTGATTTATGTACATTACTAGTTTATAAATGAAGTGTAGGTGTAGATGATTTAGTCATAGAATACTATTAGCTTGGTTGAATTGTAGTAATTAGAATGAAGTTCAAATATGTGAACCAATAGCTGAAAGTTTAGTGTTTCAACTATGAAGGTAAATAAATGTTGAAAAAAAATATTTATTTATGATAACTGTTAATGTAAAGACTATTCCATCAATGCGTAATTATGACAGTGTTATAATTATCTACTTCAGAAATTTCATACAACATTCTTGGGTCTATTAACCATAATTGGTAGTAATAAATTTTGATCAAGGTGAAATTAAAACATTCTGGTTCAAGATAGCAAATGACTATTTAATTAAAAAAATTAAAATGATTGAAATAATTCTAGTAGGTGCTATATAATTGTTTACTATCAATCATAACTATCGTATTACACAATCTATTCTACTAGTTGAGATTTTTTCAAATCGATTATGAACATGTTGATCACAAATGCTGTTAGGGACATAAAAGCGTTTGTTACTATGCAGTCGCTTAAGCAGTGGAAAAGTATTTCTTATTGAAGTATCTATTATAGAAACTTTGTTAAAAATGGTCTTAAAAATCTGGAGAAATGACTATAATGCTTAAATATCAACTGCTTACGGTTGATTACAAATGGTCTGTGTGTGATTAGTTTTCGATGACATTATTTCATACATACAGAAAAATTCAAATTGATTTGAGGTATATTATATTTAAAACTAATCTGTTCTAACCCCATAATTCTGTTGTAAAAAGACAACAAAGCTACAAATATTAGTTGTTATGGAAAAACTTATTACTATGATCACAACTCTGAACAATCAGAATTTCCACTTTGTTCTCTAATTATATATTTGTTCCTTTTTATCTTAGTGTTCTTTATCTAAGCTACCTATCATGACAGAGTATAAAGAAACAAGTATCGCATCTTGCTTAAATACAAAAAGCTGGTTACATAACTAAACTTTCAACATCAATTTTTCTATTCCTTTTTATTATCTACCTTAAAGTTTAGAATTTATCTGAAGAGAATCAGTTTAATGAATCATTGGAATCTTATTTGAATATTAAGTAATATATATATCAACAAGATAATTTTTCTTTTTCTTTTTGTTAAAAGAGATTAAATGAGTTAAAAAATCTGTTTTCTTATAAAAACAAAAACCATCATTAACTACTACAAATAAATAAGTAGATTTTGCTTTGTTTTAAAAAAAAACCACCTTTTTTCTAAACATGATTGATAATTGAAATATTTGGTTTACATTCCATAATTCATTTAAAGTGTAGATTAGTTTACTTATCTAAGTTTGCGTGATGTATAACGATTAGTTAAAAATCATAAATTATTTAAGAATAACTATATTCAATAACAATAATAGTAATAGTAATATATTATACCCATTGAATATATGTCTACCACGAATCAATAATCTAGGTAAAGTGATGGATTTAAAGTTGAATTCTTAGATTGAATAACTACAAGATGACAAGAATACTTAAGTAATGAATTTTAAAATAAAATAAAACATAGATCCTTGTTTTCACTCCTAAACCCTGTTCATTATATATTCAGCTTGTAGATACAAACAATATTTAGGTATCCAATCACGCAAATAATATGTTAACAGAGAATAATCATTTTCATGGAAATAAAATCCCTTACAAATAATAAAGTTTTATGAAACGTTTAGTCATTTATTGTCGTGATATTAGTTAAATGATAAGAATGTAATATATATATATATATATATATATATATATATATATATATATATATAAAGTACTTAGACACAGGTACTTTAGTAGGCAACCTGCTTAAACTTTTAGGATACCCATTTTCTGAATATTCAAGTATTGTAACAGATTTTCATAACTTGAATTAACCTTGAACAATTATTTATAAATGACATATGTGTGTTAATTACTTTAGCAATTTTATAAAATACTTGTAAACTGTTGCAATATTTCAACAGAAACACAACGATAGCTGACTTTGAGCTTTGTAAAACTATAAGACAATTACTTGCAATTGCTGCATAAAACGTATATTAAACACAATTAATCCAGTGAAATATTTGCTATAACCAAATAGTTAGTATCAAAAAAAGTGAATACTGTCATTATTATTATTCCATTAGACAGAGGGTTCCAGTCATTTCGGAATTTTATTTGATTAGAAATTATGTAGATAAGTTAAACGGTAACAATCGTGTAAAAACCGTATTTTAAAGGTAACTGATATTATCAAAGAAACATTTCTTACGGAAATTATTTATTTATTTTCATGTAGATTCCTGGGTAGCTCCTTATGGGTGGTAATAAACTAGACTTAAAACGGCGTTTTAACACTTTATTAGGTTTCCTTACTAATTGACACATTAATAAAGTATTCCGCAAAAGAAATATCTTAAAATCCCACCACTGTTAATAAATTCTATCTATAACCAGTTGAACTGTTTGTTTTATTTTTTTGGTAGTATTCAACCCTTTTGTAGCTTACATTGCCAAATGATATTAGTTAAACAAGAAGCATTAACCAGCAAGCATTTGAATAGTGTTTCGTTCCACCATGGGACTCTTCAGTAGTGCAACTCCACAATATCATCCA